CTTCCCTCAGTCAGCCAGTGTATAGACATGAACCTCTTGCCATTCTTTACATCTCTGTGCAGAGCAGAACATGAAGACGGCACAGAAGCACAACAGCTGCTGTGGGGAAGAAAAAAAGAAGTGAATTTTATTAAAACCCCTGTCACATATCACAGAACCTGCGTCTAAACCCCCAACATTTTCAAAAAAGGCGATTTGAGTTAATCATCCAGGACTGGTAGGTTGAGGCAGACAGAGAAGTGCCTCATGTTGGAAAAAAGACAGTCAGACTGAAAGAGAGACAGGGAGGGAGACTTTAAAACAGCCATGCTAACTGCCCGTAATTAACGCCTGCTCTGATTTTCTGAAGGCATCAGGCTCCTCAGTCACTGGGGCTTTCAGAAGGTGAAACACAACCAAGAGAATCTGTAAAGCGCTTATATGCACCTGGAATTGTGAAAGCACATTTTTGAGCCAGCAGGGAAGCATCCAAATTTAAGTTCATTCAGTTCATCTGGGCCTGTTTGGTAGTTAGTTGATAATTGATCCCATTAATCTCACCCGGCAGTTTCTTAAAACTTAAAAGAAGGCAGGGTATCAGCGGCAGCTTGCTTGTCCCACTCTCCCACCACCCTTTGCGTAAAGAACCGCCTCCTGCCCTCAGTTGTGAATCTACTTTCATGTAGTTTACGCTCGAGTACTTTGATTCCTTTTTCGCTGTGGATTCTGAAGAAGTCTGCTGGGTTTGTCAGAGCCTTGGAGTATTTTGAATGCCTGGGTCACATTGTGCAGCTTTTAAGGTTCTTATAATACTATGTGTTAAAGGCCCACTGTTAGATATTTGAAGATGCTTTTTCTGTGCCTATATTATACTGTATATGCTGTATATGCTGTTTTCACCCCCCTATTTCTCTCAGTGCAGTGTATCCCAGCCAACTGGTATGTCTGCATTAAATTCATCACCACCAATACTTGCAGTATTAATGTATTACAGTTAGTCAGCATGTGTGTATTAGTTGCCTTTTCTCTCTCAGTGCAGCATTAATGTGCAGCATAAATGATGTCTTGTCCTGCCTGTAGCACATTAGCTATCCTGGCAGTGATAAGGCAGAATGTCTGTATTATGATACCGTCAATCCATGGCTTTGTATAGTGTTGTACTTTATTACTTAATTTATTATGACAAGAGTATCCGTCCCTGTACATCTGGGCAGCCATGCGCTGAGAGAGACAGAGAGTGTTGGGGGCACCAGGCGGGCAGAGAGAGGGCTGAGGGTGAGAGGGGACGAGGAGAGAAAGCAGAGAGAGAGAGATCGAGAGAGAGAGTAAGGCAGTGAGCTATAAATAACGCTTGCTTTTTTCTGCTGTGTCGAGAATCTGAGACCAAATTTTCCAACCGCCAAACAGGAAGTTCAGACGGAGCGAAGAAAAAAACAAAACAAAACTGAGAAGTCACACTGCTAAATTTACACATTTACACTTTCCACTCGTTTACACGAAACGCGCGCGCGCGCGAACACACACACACCCTTAGGGTTACTCTGGCTCCTACACCAACACCCAAGGCTGACACTTTTCTGTGTATGGACTGTCTGCACCCAGACCCCCAGACAAATCCCGTCCCTTCCCACCTTGTCCTTCTTTGGGGGGACGTTTTCTGTCTCTGCCAGAAGTCACAAGATATAAGATAAGATAAGCTCACTTTATTGGTCATATACAATTTCTTGCATTAGGAATTTGTCTTTTCACAGACCCCAGCTTGCTCTCCATGAGACACACAGGCAGGGAGAGAAGCTGGGGGTCAGAGCGCAGGGTCAGTCATTGTACAGTGCCCCTGGGGCAGTTGGGGTTGAGGGCCTTGCTCAGGGGCCCAACAGAGTAGGATTCCTCTGGCGGCTGCGGGATACGAACTGGCAACCTTCCGGCCACAGGCGCAGATCCTGAGCCACAGAGCCACCGCTCCGCCCCAAAATAAGCCCGAACTGCCATCTCCAGCCTCCTGGGGTCATCTTCCTGGTGAGTGTCTGCACCAGGCCTTGCACGACGCCCACAGACGAGCCGTGGTGCACACCCTGGTGCCTCGTGCCCGTGGTGTGTCGAGGGAGTTTACAAACTAGCCCTGATCCCCTCCACTCCCACTGCAGGGCTGGGATACTGTAGCGACCCGTCAGTCAGATAACAGTCTAAATTAATCTCTTCTCTTCCATCCCTCTGTGCCATTGCGGTGTTGCTGTGCTGTTGTGTCCAGTCAGTGACCTCATAATCTGAATTAATTTCTCTGTCCTACTGGAGTATTACTGATCTGTAGTGTCCAGTCAGTGAGCTAATAATCTGATAATTTCTCTGTCCTTCTGGAGTATTACTGATCTGTAGTGTCCAGTCAGTGAGCTAATAATCTGATCATTTTATCTGTACTTCTGGAATATTACCTTTACTGCAGTTTCCAGTCAGTGACCTCATAATCTGAATTAATCTCTCTGTTGTCCTATTGGAGTATTACTGTTCTGTAATGTCCAGTTAGCTAACAGTCTGAATTAATAGCTCTGTCCTACTGGAGTGTTGCTGTGCTGAAGTGTCCAGTCAGTGATCTGATTGTCTGAATTGGCCTCTCTCCCTTTGTCCTGCTGTTTTTCACTCAGGTGGTACCATGGACACCTCTCCGGGTCCAACGCAGAGAAGCTGCTGTGGGAGAAAGGGGAGCCGGGGACCTTCCTGGTGCGGGAGTCCCTCTCCAAGCCCGGAGACTTTGTTCTGTCTGTGCTGACAGACGAGAAGAAGGACGTGGGTGGGCAGATAAGGGGGCGCGTGTCACACATCAAGATCATGTGTGAGGTGAGAGAAAGAGCGGAGAGAGAGAGACAGTGCAAGGCCAGTGGGAGGGGCAGTGGGGACGCACAGCCAATGGGAGAGGTGGTGGCAGGCGGAGTCATGGCGGTGGGCGGAGCAACTGTGGTGGGAGGGGCCAGAGCATGACAGAGCATGACAGGTGGGGCTCTGTCCCCTTTTTTGTCTTTCAGAACGATCGGTACACAGTGGGCGGTCCTGACATGTTTGATACTCTGACAGATCTGGTGGAACATTTCAAACGCAAAGGAATTGAGGAACTAAATGGGACCATGATCTACCTAAAACAGGTAATAATAAAGGTCATGAAGCAGCGATACCTAGACGAGTTTTACAGCTCGTAATGCAATACTATGCTAATCCAATTGCTGATTGCTAAAAAAATAAAGCAGTGTTTTCTTCACGTCTGTGGGATCAAAAAGAATTATTTGATCAACAGCTCTGTGTTTCCAGCATTACATAGACCTCCATTTCCTTGATTGATCGGTGTTGTATTGTATTGGACATTCTGATGGTCGTTATTGTTAGTCATTGCGGACGTCCGAATGAGATAAAGACGGTAACAGCAGTTCTTCTCGATCTTCTGTGTCCCAGCCGTACTACTCAACGCGGGTCAACGCAGCCGATATCGACAGCCGTGTCCAGGTCCTGGAGCAGACCGCTGGGAGAGAGGACGCCCAGAGCTCCAACAAGGCCGGATTCTGGGAGGAGTTTGATGTAAGATCCACTGGGACAGAAGGGGTGGTGACACAGAGGCAGTCGTAGAGTGGGGGCCGAGGGAGATCAGGGGTGTCCACCCTGCAGTTTCCTGCTTTCAAAGTCACCATCTCTTCTGGAGAACAGAGAGAGCAAGAGAGTGTGAAATTGATAAAGAAGAGAGGGAGTGGCAAGGGAGAGGCGGGAGTGGTCAGAGCCTGAGACAGTGTGACATTGGTTAATGGGAGAGGGAGTGGCCAGAGAGAAGAGGGCGTGGTCAGAGCCTGAGAGTTTGTGACATTAATGAATGGTAGAGGGAGTGGTCAGAGAGAAGAGGGCGTGGTCAGAGCCTGAGAGTGTGTGACATTAATGAATGGTAGAAGGAGTGGTCAGAGAGAAGAGGGCGTGGTCAGAACCTGAGTGTGTGTGACATTCATAAATGGGAGAGGGAGGGGGAGTGGCCAGAGAGAAGAGGGTATGACACGGAAGACCTGGCTCCCCAGGGAAGACAGGCTAAGTGACTACAGCCTAGCCGTAGAAAATGAAATGACCAGTGAGCAGGAATTGTACAGAGAGAGTGACATTAATGGAGTAGCCAAAGAAAGGAGAAAGAAAGGAAGTGGCCAGAGATGGGGGGCGTGCCTGGATAAGGAGTGGGAGTGGTCAGGGAGGTGTGTGTCCAAATGGGGGTGGGGTTGATCGATGGAGTGGTGCGGTCAAACAGGTTGTGGGAGTGGTCAGAGAGAAGGTAGCAGAAAATTGAAGATTAGGACAGGAATGGAGGATGGAGAGAAGAATGGGAGAATGAATTTGGGAGGTGCCATTAATTATCGATGGGAAGCACCATATGCCATAATTCCCCGTGTGTCTCCAAGACCCAGTGCATCCCTGCTCAGCCCCGGATCGTGCTCTCTCTCGCTCTTCCAGGCTCTGCAGAAGCAGGAGGCGAAGCTGAGGAAGAGTCGCGATGAAGGGATGAGGCCAGAGAACAAGAGCAAGAATCGCTACAAAAACATCCTTCCCTGTAAGGACAATATTGTCGTTGTGTTCCTGTGAGCAGAAGGTCTCTGCTGCTGTCTTCTGGTGTGACCCTTTCAGCCTCACACCCTGTTTACCACAGAGCGGGTCCTTCTCAAAGAGATGCTCAGATCTGGGTGGTGGAAAATATTCACACTGTGGCGACCTTTCTTGTTGCTGTCGCTGCTGTGCTTCATTTGCATTAATCGCATGGATGCTGGTAGCTTTAGCGAACCAGTTGAGCTTTGCAGATTGCACCCAAAGTGGCATTGTAGAATCTGCTTTGCAAATCCAAGACGCTTTCTAAGACGACACAAGTACCTGGCAGAGGCTGTTTGTTGTAAGACGAGCAAGAGTTCGACAGGGAGCAGGGAGCAGAAATACGCATCGGAAATTTAAGAGGGGGAAACACCGAGTCTGGAGGAATTGTGTATGAAAAAGACTCGGCAGTCTTTGTTGACCATTCGTTTCCGTGGGGACAACGTGGGGAAGGAGTGGCTGTTTAAACATTAGGATATGTGGCTAAAAGTCTAGAATTTAAATCACTGGATGTTGTTTCAGTTATATAATGCACAACCTTGGACAGGCAATAGATCTTGTTTAGGATGGCAGCCATGTCTGTAGGAGATTCCCAGGCTAAAAGGCATGTCCCACACTGAGAACAGAGAAAATGCTGAGGGGGGACATGATTCGTGTATCCTCAAAGCCTCAAAGATGTTAGAAGAGACAACCCAGCAGGTTTTTACGTTATTGGCAGTGGAGCAGGAATTCAAGGACCACAAATGGAAACTACACAGAAGTGCATTGACAACCGAGAGTGGTGGTGGTGGGGGGAGTCCATACACAAAGGGTTGCAGGAGCAGGGAACAGGCTCCCCAGCTATGATGGAGCAGAAACCTGGGCTCCTTTCAATAACCGGCCAGAGAAAGCCCTCAGATGCGAGTGGCTGTATCTTTGTAACCTTTCTCACGTTTTATGTTGCAAGGGAACGACTGCCGGAGCGGCACAGTGATATTTCACGCCACAGGGCTGCAACGCACACTGGGCCTGGAGTATAGGTTAGGCCAGGGAAGAAGACTCTGCAGGGCCCAAGTAGTTAACAGGATGTTGACAGAGAGGAAGGCTGAGCGTCTGAGTGCAGGGTTTTTCTCATTTCCTGTTAAATGCAGTGCTGGGGTTGACACCAGGCCTTGATTACTGTACTTCGGTACCGGTACAGGTGACTCACCCTCTTGTAACAATCTGAGGCCGGTGGTAAGGGATCGAACTGAGGACCTGATGACTCACCTGCGTCATCTCGCAGATAGGATGCTACAAATGAAAAAGGAGCACGCAGGCAGAATGCCAGGCTGATTCGAACAGTGCACAGAGGGGTGCGTTTCCTCATTTCGGGGGGCTGGAGAGCTTTAACAAAAGACGATGCGAAGGCGGTCAGGCTGGACCCGAAGTGTTCGTGCGTTCAGAATCACTGCTGGTGGTGGTGCTTCTCTTTGCGCTGTGGAAGATAATGCTTCGATGTACAGTTGCTCCTCAGGAAAACCACATCCGTGATTTGGGGTGGCAGTCCTCACGCTCTTCAAGATCGCAAACAAGAGGAAGCCGTTTTAAGGCTAATCAGCGTTTGGTCGTTAGCAGCTAATTGGCATGAGGATCTGAGCCAGCCGTTTCTTGAGAGAAGCCAGGGGATCGGCTTCAACAACGGGGCTGGGCAGCTTGTTCCCCCCTCCCGCCACCGAGAGCCGCCTGTTCTCAGTTTCAAAGGCACTTTCGTGCAGTCCTCGCTTGCGTCCTCCTGGTTCTTGCTTGCTGTCGATTCTGAAGCAGTACACTGGGTTGACTCTGTCAGTGTCTTTGAGGGTTTTGGAGCGTGTATAAGGTGCTCTTGTAGTCTTCTCTGTTGGACTTTCCTTTAAGCCCAGGAATCAGTATCACTAATCTTTCATACCAAAATTGTACTGATAATAGCAGATGTAGACTAAATGTCACAGTGTCACTGAATACCATTGGGAATCCATTGGGAAAGGAGAGAAGAGTTGTTTGTCCCTAAAAATTGAACTTTTCTGAATGAATCCACATTACTGGTGATTATAGAGGCTGTAGAGGGCAACATGGTGGGGCAGTGGAGAGCATTTCTGTCTTGTAGCGCTGGGACCCTGGGTTCAATTCCCAGGGTGCTATCTGTGTGGAGTCTGCATGGTCTCACCGTGTGTTCACTGACTTCCTCCCACAGCCCAAAGATCCAGGCTTCTGAGAAAATGGGGCTGAAGTTGGGATAGGCTCCAGCTCCTTCACAGTCCCTGAATTGGACAATACAGTTAGAAAATGCATGGGTGCTGACTATGGGAGAAGGAAATGATTGCTTTCCAAGATCAAGTGCCCAATCGTCTCATAAGAGGTGGCAGATCGGTCCTGATTGCTAAAATATACCGGCCATGCCAGCCATAAACACATGTGAATAGGGGGTAAATCGGGTAATTTCTGTTAGTCTGCGTGGCGGCGTCAGTCTGTCCTTGTGTCTGTGGTAACTCTCTCTCTCTCTCTCGCCCTCTCCAGTCAATGACACCCGAGTGGTGCTGGAGTCTGGAGACCCCAATGTCATCGGCTCGGACTACATCAACGCCAACTATGTCAAAGTGAGTCTCTCTCTGCTCGTTGGCCTGGAGCTCCCAATAAATGCACAGTAAACACTAAGCCCCTGTTGTGGCGCAGAACGTTCTGAGAGAGTGCTGGATTCTGTCTCCTGCATCGGAAATCCTTCAGTAGCGCTCCAGCGCGACTCCAGCTGGTCTCTAATAATGCCGCGAACATGCTCTGATAGTTAAGGAACGGGGTTCCAGTGGGACGCCAATAACTCTGCAACATCAATGAGAGGAGTTAATCTTAACCAGCAGGGCTACCACCCTGTGGTCTGGTCCCATCAGATCGCAGGACCAAGGCAAGGCCTGGCATCTTGGTGGGGACTGTGGACACTGTGTTGTAGGATGAGGCCGTAAACAGATGTCCTAACTGCTTGGCCATCACTGGTCAACTAGTATCATTAACTCTGCTCTAACAGTAGTTAGTACAGTCGTTAACAGTAACATAACAGTAGTTAGTGAACTGTGTACTGGGTATTATGTACTGTGTATCGTCTTATCACAATAGGAGTGCTCTCACCACTTTCCTAGATAAATTCTACTCTTAGGTAATTGCTTCTCCTTTATTATTGTTAAAGAAGGAATGTTAACTATTACTCTAATGTTACTTAGTTCAATGTATTATGTGTTGTGTGCTATGTTGTTACCAGTAGTTAGTACTAAGAATAGCAGTGTTGTCAGCAGTGTCCTAGATACATTCTGCTCTAAAGTGAAGTAATTCCTCTCTCTCCCTGATCTGGAGCAGAATGGCTTCTGTGTGTCACTTAGGTGGGGCAGCATTTCAGGAGTGAGCGAAGCAGGTTGCAGGTCCTCTCCTATATGGCAGGAGTTTTAGGATCCTTTGGGATGCTGTGGTAAATGGAACAAACACGTATTCTAATTAAAACTACGGGCGGCAATTTCGGATTGTTGGACTGAAATCAGAAGGAATCCCTCATTGATTGAGTCAGTTACAGAAATCCCTGCTTTGTCAGAAACATTCCTGAGATGATCTGCAAATACTCTGATCCCGCCACCACACTAGCCCAGCGATCCTTCATCTGCTGTGCTGCACACTGAAGTCAGGGAATCTCCACTCGTACAGCAAGATCCGGCATGGCCTGGCTGTGATTTCGCTGAACAGTTCCGAATTGATCCACCCTCCCGTTTCCTGACCTCTTTATCCAGTTCTGGGTCGCGGGGGGGGGCGCAGTCTATCCCAGCAAGCAGCCGGCACAAGGCAGGATACACCCTGGATGGGACGCCAGTCCATCACAGGGTGCACACAGGCACAAACACACACACACACACAGTTTTCCCAGAAGCCTATTGACCTGTTTTGAATGTTCAAATACGGTAACTGGACTCAAATGTCAGCCTGCAAATGCCGCTATGTT